CCATGCTCTTAAGTGAAATAAATACGACACACATGTGTAAATACTGAATAGTTTCTCTAGTGTGAGAAACTGGAAGTGTAAATAAGGATGAAAATGATTAAAATGAATAATTGATAATTTGAAATAGGAAAAGGTCCAAAGGTGTAGCGGTTGTGGGGTGGGAGGGAAAAGGGAAGAAGGGAAAGGAAAAATTACGAGAAAGAAAAAAAAGATGGAAACAAAGTCTATGTAAATAGGGAAGGGTGGAGGGGGTGAAGGGCACATAGGTAATGGGGGAAAAAATAAGAACTAAGATACATCATGTTCAGGTACAAACATCCAATGGTAAATGTAAATGTACTGTATACCTAAAATGTACCAATTAATATATAAATTTTAAAAAAAAACAACTTCTGGGCCGGGGATTCAGCTCAGTGGTTTCACCGCCTGCTGCACAAGCACAAGGACTGGAGTTCGATCCCTGGTACCAAAAAAAGAAAAATAAAAAGAAAGAGAAACTTCTGCATCTCAAAGGAAACTACAGAGAAAGACGAGATCAGCATGGACTGGTAGAAAATATTTCACATTCCTGACAAAGGAGTTACATCCAGAATATATAAAACAATTTCCAAAGCTAAAGTGGATGAAAACAAAAAATCCAATTCAAAAATAGGCAAAAGATCTTAATGGATACTTCACCAAAAAAGATACACAGATGGTAGAAAAAACCTGAAAAGATGCCCAACGCTTGAGCCATCAGGGACAGGTTCCTTACAACAGCTCAGAGACACCACATTCCACCTGTCATCGTCCCTGGGACCCTCTGCTTGGAGGAGGACGACCACAGGCCCCTTCCTGGTGTTTTCACCAGAGACAAAACCTGTGTCCATGCACTGCCCTGTGCAGTCTGTTGTGGCACAAGCTCAGAGCTATGGTGCTATAGCCAGCTCTGAGGCACAGCCAAGGGTTACAGTGTTAGACTTTGAATTCTCAAGAACCCCATGGTCACTTGAAGAGGTGGGAACAAACGCTGGCAGGCTCAGAGGAATTCAGAAGAGTTCCTGTTCAAAGTCTGCGCACTGTACCAGAAATGAGAGCCTCCTTACACAGGGATCTACAGGTAGGTGAGCATGCTCACTGAGCAGAGAGGCGGGGTTACAGAACATCCCTGAAAGGGGTGGGGCTAACAACATCCCTGAGAGGGGTGGAGCTTAACAGAATGTTCCTGAAAGGTCACACAGTTCAAACAGTCACAGGACATTTTGATACACTGCGCAGGAGCCCAGCAGCACAAACTCACACTTCATGAACATAACATTCTGTGGGGAAAAATGGAGGCAAGGCAAGGCCTGTATTATTGCATAGTATTGCTCTATCAGTCTGCCATAGAATTTGCAACAATCAAAAACTGACAACCATCCACACATCCTCTAGTGGCCTGTCCACCCCACCAAACACTGCTTAGAAATAAAAAGGAAGCATCCAAGAGGTTATTGACAACTGATGGAGAGGTGGAAGTGGCCCTCCTAGGGAGCCACGTGCTGCCTGGTTTCCCTATGGGATGTTCGGCATTGGCACTGGAGAAGGGCCCAGGTCGGCACAGGCCTCGCTGTGGGAGTGGGAGCCTATGGCCGTGCTCCTTGGGGAGCCAGCTTTGCTCCACATGCATAATGGTGGTGGCCATGCAGGTTACCAAAATGTGCACACGGGAAACTTGCATGACATCACACCAAAAACGGCAAGTTTTACTGCATGTAAATTTAAAAATAAATTTGTAAGTCTTCACTATAAAAAAGTAAAGCAAATCACAAACAAAAAACACCTAACTAGGGCCGGGGATTTAGCTCAGTGGTTCCGCCGCTTGCCTTGCAAGCACAAGGACCCAAGTTCGATCCCCAGTACCAAAAAACAAAACAAAACAAAAAAACAAAAAAAACCCCTAACTATATCACACTGTACCATTAGGAAAACTGTAAATCATTTTAATAGCCAAATAAAACTAATTTGATCAGATAATCATATTCTTAGTCAAAGTTTCCTTTTATGAAGATGAACAAATCTATGCAGAGGCCAGGATTACATGGGATACTGCATGTGTATGCTTGTGACTAAAGTAGAAACATCACTGCTATGACGGTAAATAAAACGTTCTGGGTTGGGTGCAGTACTATGCACCATAATCCAGGCAACACAAACAAACATTCTGGAACACTGAGCGAGACTTCACACTAGAGGAGACAGAGCCCACAAGGGCCAGGCAGGGACAGTGACCGCAGCGCTAGAACTGGGAAGGGGCCTAAGAGAGCAAGGACTGCGCCCAAGACAGGAGGAGGGTATGGACACTCACACTGAGGATGCAGCCCTTCTGCACATGGTGCCTCAGGGTCTTCTCGAGCCTGGACATGGCCTTGCACAGCTCTGCCTTCTCCTGGGTCACAGTGCTGATGGCTTTTGTGAGAGAATCATTGTCTCTCAACAGCACATCCACCAACTGTACTTGTAGCTCTGCTGCCATTTTTTTCTTGAAAAGGAGAAAACAAATTTATAAAATATTTTGTTAGCCAGCCACACGGGTGCACACCTGCAATCCTATGTACTCAGAAGGCTAAGGTAAGAGAAACTCGAGTTCAAGACCAGCCTGGGCAACTTAGTCACAGTATGTCTCAAAATAAAATAATAAAGGGCTGGGGATGTGGCTCAGTGGTAGAGCAATCACCTAGCATGCACAAGGCCCTGAGTTCAATCCTCAGTACTGACCCCCCAAAAAACAATGTTTTTGTTGTGGCTGTAAAAAGACAGGCATGTAATTGTCATTGGTATTTTCAGTACTTGTGAACATGTGTGAAGTTGGACAGCTGCAGGGTTGGGCATAGCTAGGTTATCTACAGGACAGGAAGTAATGAAAGTCATCAAGTCACATTTCTTTTCAGTCCTCTACAAAATATTTTGTACAAAACTGGACTCTATGAATAGTACAGGCCTGTTAAAAAATGCAAACCTTTTCTAATTTTCAATAGGACCATAAACAGAGGTGGGACACTGAGAGGTAACATCCTAAGGGGTCAAATGCCTAAGTCCCTTAAAACAGGCAGAAGGGGGCCGGGGATTTAGCTCAGTGGTTCCTCAGCCTGCCTCGCAAGTGCAAGGTCCCAAGTTCGATCCCTGGTACCAAAACAAACAAAAAACAAATAAAGAAGGGCCGGGGATTTAGCTCAGTGGTTTCACTGCCTGCTGCACAAGCACAAGGACCGGAGTTTGATCCCCGGTATCAAAAAAAAATAAAAATAAAAAAGAATAAAACAGGCTGAGGATGTAGTTCGGTGCAAAGGCTTTGGGGTTCAATCCCCAGTACTGGCAACAAAATAAGGCCCACTGTCTTCACAATCAGAATATTTGGCCACTGAGGGAGGCAATGCAAAGCTCACCAGTGACCCATAGCAAGAGGGACAGGACACACACCATCCATGACCTCGGCAGGCAGGGTTGGAGGGCAGGTAGGTGGCAGTGAGCAGCTGTCCTGCTACCTGACCCCAAACTGTAGAGAGCACCATGACACTGCCATAATTTCATAAGTGCCCCAGAATTTCAGGCAGTGCTTAGGCCCACAGTCAGGACCTGTGAACTCCTCCAGTGACAGCTTATGGGGAGCGTGGAGCTCCCAGGAGCCTGGGATTTCATTTCCCACTGAAGCCTTCAGGGAGACAGACATCTATCAGTGGAGTGAGGGGCTTTCTGGGGCATCTCCCCCCAGCAGAGCAGACCCGAGCTCACCCCCCCTTCCACATCCCCAGGGTGGGTCTAGCCATGTGCAAAGGGGAAGTCCAGACAGCCTCACAGCCTTGTAGGCAGTGCATTCAAACCCCAAAGATGATGCACTGGGCACCAGGATGCAGAGGGCATCTAGCACCTGTGTCACAGGTGGCAAACTCAGACAGTAAGGGAGGAAGGAATCACCAACCAAAAATAAAAATGAAACTGGAAAGCTGGCACGATGTCCTTCCAGACAGCCTCAGCCCCATCTGTCAGGGGCAGAGCAAGCACAGAGAAGATGCAGAGTGGGCAGGAGAAGCTCTCAGGATGAAAGGCAACAGATTACCTCTCCAGTCTTACCTGGGAGGAGGCAGACATGCTCAGTTCAGACTTCAGCCCCTGCAAAGTCTGCACTAAAGATGACACGGCCTTCTCGCTGGGTAAGGTCCAATCATTAAGTGTCCTGTAAAAACAAATGGCTATTCAGAAGGTTCACACATACCCTAAATGACTGTCATCCTGAGCTGTGCAAGAAAACTCTGCTGAAGAGACAGCCAGTGAGCAGCCCTGCCTGTGTGGATCACCCATCTGGCCTCCTGGCGAGTCTCATCCTGCCACCAGGGTCCCTGATGGCAGGGCTGGGAAGCCCTCTTCTGACTGTGGCGGAGGGTGGCAGGTCTGCAGGAGGACAGACTGACAACTGACTTCAAGGGGGACCCCGAGTGCCCATACCCCAGCACTACTGCTTCCTGTGTTCTAAATGAAACCACTCAGAAACTATGCTCTTGTAGAATCAAACTCAAGTACCAACAGGAAAAACTCTTATGAGCTAAATTTCTGTGTACGAAATGGCAAACATCAACATTGGCTTTCCTGCTCCTACAAAGCATGGTGGGCACAACTCTAACAGGTGAGTCTTGTCCCAGCTGTGCGGCCCCAGAGGCTTCAGGGTGATGCAGACATAGCGCCCAACCTTGGTGGACAAAGGCGGGGTGGAAGTGACACTGGGGGACACCTGAGCCCAGAGCTCCGGGCAGGAGGGAAAGAACCAATCTAGACAGAACTTGGAAGCCCACAGTCAGATGTACAGCACCAATAGTAAAATGTAGAAAATACGATTTGTTAGGATCTTTCAGGGGAGCCGGGCCCATTAATTTATCCAAATTATGGAAAGGGAGATGGCATGTGAGCTCATTAAAACATGGTCCTGAAGTCAAAGATGCCCAAAACGTCAGACCTTCCCTTATATAAAAGGGCACAATGGTGCACCCTGTGATCCCAAGTACTGAAGAGGCTGAGGCAGAAGGGTTTCTCAAGTTAAAAGGGCAGCCTGGGCAACTTAGACACTGTCTCAAAATAAAATTTTTTTAAAAAGAGCTGAAAGTCAGCATCAGAACACCTGCCTAGCATGCACGAGGCCCTGGATTCACTCCTCAGCACCATACACACAAAAAAATCAAGACGGCCTGCACTGGCAGGATACTAGCTGGAGCCCAGCAATCCATGGCCACACCTGTCCATGGTGCGGTTGACAAAGCTGGTCAGGAGCCCAGCCACACACAGTAGCTGCTGCCGTATCTTCTCTAGTCCTTGCTGCTGTTCCCAGATACTGCTCAGCTCCAGGGAGTCCAGGAAGGGGCCACTGCCCAGGGGCACCTCCTCTTTTGACTGCAGTTCTCGCACCGTCTGCTGAAGCTGTTCAATCTTATGCTCATTGCGCTGGCGCTGTAATTCTAATTCTTGCTGTCAGTAAATGGCAAAAACACAGAGAAGGCTTCGTGTGAGTTTTCCAAAGTCATCATTCTCCTGAAGCCCCACAATGCAGTGGTGTGCAGGGGAGGCCCCTTTGTGGACCAGAAACAGCACTTGGTGGGTGGCCACACTCTTGCTTGTGCTCCTCCCTCAGGATCCCACCAACTAACCTGCCCAGCATCTTCACACAGTCAGGAAAGCCCCACCTTTACTCCTGAATGAGTAAAGATGTTACCACCCACCAGGCCCAGACTGGCCCTTGGGCCCACAGGGGAGCCTATGATGCTGAATATGGCAGGAGAGAGCTCCTTTCTGTCAGGCCTGACCTAGGTGAGTCCTTCACAAACAGGGCAAAGCAAACAGGCTGCTGTCAGCAAACGACAGGCTATTTCTCAGTAAACAGAAGACAATTTCCCCAGTGCCGAAAAGTCAAGTGACTGTCTACGCACCTGTGCTGACCGTCCTTGGATTCTGTCATAAATATTTCTTATGATCATAAACCCCCTTTTCAATACCTACATAAGCCTAACTCCTGTCCCAGTTAGCTGCTACTGTTTCTCTCCCGATGTCAGCCCACTCACTCACGGATGAAATCTCTCCCAGCTAGCTGCTGCTATTTCTCCCTCCCAATGTCAGCCCATCCACACACATGTAAGAAACTTGGCTTTTCCCAGCTAGCTGCTTGAATCTATCCTCCATTTGAGTCCCTAATTTTAGCATCTGTTCACTGGAATAAACTCCTCTTTTCCTCACAAAGGCCTATCTTGAGTGGTTTCACGTGCGCCACTTAAACACGCTTATAACACACCTGTGCATACCCATGCACGTATGCCACAAGCCAGCACAGACGTGGAAAAGCACAAGCGTGTGCACACAAACAGGCATGCACACACAAAGGCCTGGACCTGCCGCAGCGGTGCCACACCAGCCACGGTGGGGCCTGGGCTCTGCCTGCTCTTCTGGGAAGTGCAGGTGAGCTCAGCCACTCAGCGCCCCGGCACCTCAGAGGTGCTGAGCCTTGTGCTGGGTGAAGCGGAAATGACTGACGAATGCTTGGACTCCCTGCATGGGCCCCACTCCCACCAGGAGGCGGCTGAGTGCACACTGGCAGGGAAGGCAGGGCGGCCCAGCAGGACTCCCCGCGAGCAAACGAGGGTGAAAAAGGCGAGAAGAGCACCCCAAGCCGGACTGGAGGCCCACATGGAGCCTGGGGCGCAGCACATGCACCATGCCCTCCGACATCAGCTCAGTGCACATGCACTGTTACCATTTTCCTGGAGAGGAAAGCTAAGCTTCTATTGTTTGGAGTTGGCAATTCTGGCCCTGCAAGGACCACTGGCAAAGTTCTGGCAGCCTGGCCAGAGAAGAATACTGTGGTCCTGGTCACTGGGGCCAGCTGCAAATACCACCAGACTCCTGCCCCTAATGTCACATCAAGAGCAATTCCCAGCTTCACACACAAGATGTTTCTCTCTATTCACTTTCCAGCAATAGGACACCAACCGTTAGATTAAACAAAGAGTTTGGCTGGAAACCACGGATATGGCTTGGGAGCTCTCTGCTAGGAACCACATTGCCTCCGATCCCCTCACCTGGACACACGCAGATGCAACGGCAGCCAGGTCGTGAGGACCCCTGTGTGGCCAGGGGTGGCAGTCGCCTCGGAGCAAATGGAGACCCTGCTGGCCAGGCTGATTCTCCCCCAACCTTTCCAGACAACACCCCTCGGCCTACAACTCCAGACAACGCCCAAGGCCTATGCCTCCAACCTCCCTGTTCTCTACACCTACAAATGATGCCAGGCTATCTACATCATCTCTTGTGATAAAACACTAATTATTTTGGAAGTTTCTTAACAGAAAATAATAATCACCTCTGAGGGCTGGGAATTTAGCTCAGCAGCATTGCATCTGCCTGACAGAGTTTGATCCCCGGTACCAAAAAAAAAAAAAAAAAAATCACCGCTGAAACAGTACATTGAGTAATCACTCCAACATGAACCCTGAAGGCATCTTGCCACCTAAAGAAAGCCAGTCACACAGGGAGCATGCTGCAGAGTCCCACTTACTGTGTCCTGAAGAGACATATCTAGAGACAGAGGGCAGAGCAGGGCTGCTGGGCTGGGAAAGGGGATGCTGAGTATTCCTACCCACAGGAAGGACTTCACCCAGGGTGACGGGAACCTTCCTAAACTGACTGCCATGATGGCTGCATCTCCTAGAAAATGCTCTAGACCACTGAACTGCACAATTTAAATTGAGGAACCCAATGGTATGTGCATTCTATCTCATAAAGTTGTTGTTTAAAACAACTTGGAATCTAATTTATCCTTGAAATATTTAGAAACTTACAAGTTTTGTGTTTAGAAACAGATGGTCCTGTACTATTTCACCACAGGGTAACCCCTCAGAAAGACCAGGCCTTTGGTTTTACTTGTTTTACAAATCTTTTTTTTTGGTACCAGGGATCGAACTCAGGTCCTTGCACTTGCTCAGCAGGCAGCGAAACCACTGAGCTAAATCCCTAGCCCTTACAAATCTTTTTGTAATTTCATAAAATACAAAATCAAGCAGTGAAGGTATTTTTTTAAAAGCTTTTCCTTGACATAGAATGTATCTAAAAATCAAAGTCCATTCAAAAAATGAGAGAGCAAGAGAACACTTCCCAACTCATCCTTAAACCATTGTTACTGATACAAAAACCAAAGACCAATATCCCTAAGTGAACACAAATGCAAAATACACAATAGAATACTAGCAAACTGAATCCAGCAACATATCCAGAGAATTCTTTACAATGACCAAAAAGGAGTCATCCCAGGAATGAAATAATGTCCGTAATGCCAAGACAACCACAACACTGGACATATGTCACAGTTTGAAGAAACACTGCTTCACAAAATCTAACAGACTCATGATTTAATTAAGAAAGACTGGACAACCAAGAATCAGGAGGAAGTGCTTCAGACAAAAGGTGTGGCCCAGACCCACAGCAGGCAGCACATGCAACAGGAGAAGTCTTTGTTCTCCAGACCACAGTGAAGAGGTGGTGCTCCTATCCAACACTGTGCTCCAAGTCTGAGCCAGGGCAGTCAAGAGAGGGATAAAAGACATGGGTTAGAAAAAAGAAATGAAACTGGACTATTTGCAGGCATAAGATACTATACATGGAAAATCCTTCTAAAAATAGTGAAAAATGAGCTGAGGATGTAGCTCAGTAGTAGAGTGTTTGGCTGGGATGGGTGAGATACTGACTTCAATGGCTGGTACTGCAAGAAAAAAGAAAAAAAGAGAAAAGAGTGTGAGTGTGTATCTGTGTGTGTGTGTGTGTGTGTGTATATATATATAGGAAACCAATATACACACTCAGCAAGCTTGCACAATACAAGTACAAGATCAATATATAAAAACACACTGGTAATAAACAATCTGAAAATAAAATTAAGAAAACAATTCCACCTGCAATCATACAAAAAATAATAAAATACACAGGACTAAGTTTCCTCAAAAGAAGTGTATAGCTTATATTCTAAAAGGTACAAAAGACTCCTGAAGGAAATTAAAGACCTTCGTGACCAGAGACAGTTCATGTTCATGGATGAGAACATTTACTTTGCTAAACACATCAATAGTGACCTTTAGATTCAATCCAATCCCTATTAAAATATCAACGGCCTTTTGGGCCACCTTCAAATTCACACAGAATTGCAAGGGGACCAAAGATCCAAAACCATTTTGAATAATATATCCTAATCAAAACTTGCTATATAGCTCAGTGGAGCCACCGCCTGCCTCGCAACCGCAAGGTCCCGAGTTCAATCCCCAGTACCGGGGGAAAAAAACCAACTTGCTATAAAGCTACAATAGTCCACACAGAGTGGTACTAGCATAAAGACCCACAGACCAAAGAAACAGAGGAGAGAGGCCAAGAAGACCCCCACGCCAACTCTCCCAACACTCCAATCACTGAGGATCTGTAAAGATTCACGACCTGTGCAGATGGCTCTCAACAGCTTCTCTGTGTCTCTCTGCCCCTCCTTCTCCGTCTCCGTGTTTGCTTGGCTAAGTCTGGGCTCCACTCTCCTCCCTGAATAACTCTCTCCTTGCGCTTTTGCTCACAGGTGTAACTCCTCTAACTTGGCCTGGAACCAAGCTGGTTTCTCCCCACCTCTCTCCAGAAAGCATCTCAGTTCCTGTTTGTGGATCTGCAGGGTGTCCAGAGCCAACCTTAAGGTGGCACTCACCTCCTTCTCCCTCCCGAGCTCCGTGTAGTGCTCCTGAACCTGGGCCTCCAGCTGCTGCTGAGCTTGCAGGACCTGCTGCTGCGCCACCTGGAGTGCAACCTGCAGTTCCAGCACACGAGCCTTCTCTGCCTTCAGCTTCCGCAGCATGGCGTGGTGTGCCTGTGGATGCTGAGCACCGCGGCTCAGCTGCTCTGTCAGCAGCCGCTCATGCTGCAAGGCCTCTGAGAGCTCCCGTGCATGGTTCTTCTCAGCCTCCAGGCTCCTCTGGAGCTCAGAGAGCCGGCCCCGCTCCTGCGCCAGTAAGGCCTCGCAACGCGAGTGCTCGATCTGCAGCTCTTGCTGTAGGTTGTCCCTCACCGTCTGCTCATGTTTCAAAGCTACACACAGTTGGTTGTTCTCGGTAAACTGCTTCTCCAAAGATACTTTTAATTCCTATAATGGTGAAAAGACAAGTTGAGAAAAAAATTACTCAGAAGGAAAGTACAGACTGTAAAAAGTTGTTCTGCCCAGACCTGTTTACATACTTTCACCCAAAGGCAAAAATGCCTGTTGAAAATTGTTCTATGGGTAAAAGTATGTACAAGGCCTTTTTTGTTATTTTACCACCTGAGTGCACAGGTGAAGGCTGTTTCAGAAGGGGCACTGAGGAAATGCACACACACCTTCTGGATTCAGAGGTGCCCTGCTTCTCTCTTCCTCAAGAACAATACATAACCAGGATGCTCAAAGATAGCACAACCTGCTTGCTATCCACCATGGTTCCATGTTGTTGAAAGATACACAGACTTGTTGTGAGCTAGAGGATACCTGCTGGACCTGCACTCTTCAGAGCTGTCACCCACTACCTCTGCAGCTGCTGCTCTTCACGATGGCTAGTCAGGAGGCTGCGTTCCCCTTCCAGAAGCACATGCTCATGGACAGCGGGCCACTGAGGAGGGTCAGGTAGGTGTACTGCTGGCCATTATAGCTGTCTGCCTTGTAGCAGACAGCCACTGTCAAAGACTATTTTTATCAGAAAATACAGCCCTGGCCGGGGATTTAGCTCAGTGGTTCCACTACCTGCTTTGCAAGTGCAAGGTCCTGAGATTGATCCCTGGTACCAAAAAAAGAAAAGAAAATGCAGCCGTATCTCATTGCTTCAAACTGCTGTCAACCAGGCATGCTGCCACAAACAAGAGTAGGAAAGGAAGGCAGGTGAGGGCAGCTTCCTGCTTCTGATGCACTGGATGGGATGGCCTGGGCTGCCAGTCACCTCCAGGGCCTTGGTGCTCTGGCCTTCCCTCTGCAGGTGCCGCAGCTGCTCCTCCTCCTGCCGGGCCTGGAGGGCGCGCTCCTTCCCTCGCTCCTGCTCCAGCTCCTCCAGGGCAGCCTTCAGGTCACTCTCCTTCCCATCCAGCAGAGACCTGCACAGGGATGGCAGGTGGCAGTGTGCCAGGTCAGGCAGAGGCGAGGTGGAGGTGGGAGGTCCCCCTGCCCCCTCATCCATGTGGCTCCATCTCTCATTCCCAGACCCCAAACCCAAAGGCTCCTGCAGCCCTGCCAACCACAGCAGACCCAAGGACAGCAGGACTTCCACTGAAAGAGAACGGGCCAGGCAAGGCCGCACCTCAGCTGGAGAACCTCGTGCTGTGCCTCGCCCAGGGACTCCAGCAGCCTTGCGTTCTCCTGCTGGCACTCACGCAGCTCTGACTGCAGGTCCTGCACTGCGCTCTGCTCCACTGCCAGGAGCTGCCGCACGCCCCTTGCTCTTTCCTGCTCTTCGCTCAGGGTTTTCTGTAAGTCACTTGCTATACATTTTTCCTGCTCAACTTTATATGCCAACAATTCAACTGAGAAAGATAAAAACACAAGGCAGCATTATTCATGAGTTCAAAGTGTACCAGAAAAGGATGTTAAGTCAGAAAGGACATTCATTAGATGGGGCTGTGCTCATGGTGGGGAGCGGTGGCATTTCTGAGAACTAGAAGCCACTGTTTCTAAGGGAGCCAGGCCACTCAAGAACACTTCACTTCTTCCTAGGCCTTGCTCTCCTGGTTGGGAGCAGAGAACAACAGTGACAACAAGTCCCCAAGGCCTTCCTACAGTCCAGGCCAACCCCACCATTCACAGGCAACACGCCCTCCACAGAGAGAGGGAAATTCAAGCCCATATGGCTGCACTGGAAAAGTCTATCAGAAGCTGAGGAAGAAATTGCCCCACTCTGCACAAACTCTACTGGGAAACATAATGGAGGAGATGCTTCCCTCGTTGAGGCCAGTGCCTCCCAGCACCAAGGCTAGAAAAGGGCACAGGGGAGAAAGCTACAGGCAAGGCCCCTGTGCATGCACAGAGGGTCCCAGCGCCTGCAAGGCCACTCTGCCTGACGGGATCCAAGCAGGAACAGAGGCACCTACTCACACAGAACCCACACACAAGCAAGAGGGAGTGAGGAAGGAAAGGCAGCGACCCAGGGCCTGCCTGGCACAGAAGCCAGGAAAAGAAGCAGGCAACAGACGATCTGCCCACAGAAAACTCCCAAGAACCTAAGGTAGAAGCGGGAGATGAACAATGACTGGCTCCTGAACGCCAGCACCAGCTCCTCTGGGGTCCCACACTCGCCGCTGCAGTGCTGCAGGGCGGCACCCACCCTGTCTGCGTAGCTGATGCTCCTGCCGGCTGCTTCGGGCCTCTGCACTCGTGAGCGCTGCACAGAGCTGCTGCAGCTTCTCCTGGTTCTGCAGGTGTGTCATGCGCAGCTGGGCACGCAGGGCCTGAATCTCTGACAGCAGGCTGCTCCTGTCAGGCAGGCGCAGGTGTTCCCAGGGCTTCTCCTGTGGATCTCCCTGGAGTGGGGAGAGCAGATTCTGCATGGAACATGAGGGTGCCAGGCAGCAAGGCGGGAGCCCTACACACCCCACCTCCCACAACCCACCTTTCCAGCCCCAGCTGCCGGCACCACAAGACACAGCTTATTGACCATGACTGTGCAGGGACGCAGACCTTGCTCCCAGGCACCCCTGTAGCTCTGCCTGGAAAGTAGCTATGCTGGCCCCTTGCCCTCAGCACCAGCCTGGTCCTCTACCCGAGTGCAAACAGGGTCCACACTATCTCACAGCTGATGGCCTCCACCCGGTGAGCAATGCACTTGATAGCTGGGAGGCCTGTGGGAATGGCTCTTCTGCCCACAGCAGTGAGACTCAGGCAGAACCAGTGGAATTTGTGAGGACTCATGTGTGAATGCTCAGCACCACACAGGATTTCCTCAGCCAGTTGCTACCACATCCCCGGGTGAAAGCACATGAACCACAATTCACAGAGAAGCAGTTTCCGTCACCCTCTCCTAGGGCCAGGCTCCAAGGCACAGACGCAGGGCTGCTGCTCACCTGCTCCTGGGCGACTTTCTCCAGCTTCCTGCACAGGAGGCTGTGACCCCACGGGTCTGAGACACAGGGTCTGGGCTGCAGCTCTGCTTGCACCATGTTCTGCTCCTTCTCAAACATCTGGGTGGCCTCCAGAAACTCTGCCCTCCAGTCAAAGCGCGAGTCCAGGAGCTCCTGCAAAGTTGAAGCAAGGACCTTAGTGCTGAGCTGGGGTGCAGCTCAGTGGGAGACAGGTGGCCAGCATTCATGCGACCCCGAGTTCCACCCCCAGCACTGCTAAATAAATAAGTAAATGAAAAGAAGGAAGGAAGGGAGGGAGAAAGAGAGGAAGGGGAAGGGGCATTATTCTTTCTCCAGTGCATGCTGCAAGCACTGTGTGGGCTGGATATCTGAGTCCCTCAGATTCCTAAGTTGGACCCTGATCCCTGATATGACTATACTTGGAGACAGGACCTTGTGAAGGTTGAAAGTGGTCACAGCGCGGCCCAGGTCATTGGTAAGAAAAGCACCCCCCCACCCCATGAGGAGGAGGCCATCTACAAACCAGGAACTGGGCCCTCATCTGAGCCTGGCCCTGCTGCCACCAGATCTCAGGCTCCCACCACGCAGACCCATTAAAAATAAACATCTGTGGTGCTTTGTAAGGCAACTGAACAGAGGGAGAACCAAGGCAGCCATTCTGACAGAGGAGGAGACATGTAAGGGTAGAGGCAGATGCCACCAACATGAGCAAGCGACTAACACAGAGGAGGGTGAAATTCTACCAAGCGGGAGGTCCAGAGTGCCTCTCCTTCTCTCTCCACTGCTGCACAGTCCCCAGGGACTGTGGCCAGGAGCGAGCACCCCATGGCTCAAGGACACACAGCCTGTGTGGGCAGGGTCCACTAGTGGGCACCAGCCACAGGCTACCGTTTTCCTGGCCCAGGGACACAGCCCTTCCATCCGTCCTGGATGTTCACCCAGCAGGAAGAAGCAGGTGGGGGAGGGGGCTGCAGGGGAGGGGGAGTGAGGCTCATGCTGAGGCCCAGAAGGGGGCTCGCTGTGGTGAGCCCTGGGCTCTTAAAGGTGACAGCAAATGATGGGTAGGGGCCAGGTCCAAGAGTGAGGGAGGAAGTTTAGAGGGAGGAAGGAGGAAATGCGGGGTCCACCTGCAGGTCACAGCAAATCCTCAGAACCATGGAACCAGGAGAACACCTCTGGCCTTGTCCTCTTAGCTCACAAGGAGACCACCTCCCTCTGACCACAGGGAGCCTCCAGTGTACATCTGCTAGGAACAGCAGGCAGAGCCAGCATGGCCACGGGGTAGGGGCTGCAGGTCTTGTTTTCAATCTGTTCCTTTAGCTGCACTAAATAGACCCTCATCTCTATGCATGGTTCCCCTTGGTTGCTATAAGCTCCAAAGTCCTTTGGAAATAGGTATGTGAGGTCCGCACAAAGTGCATTTCCTCAGGTTAGGGTGTAGCTTAGAGGTAGAATCCTGGCATAGCATGCCAGGCCATGGGTTCATCCTCAGCACTGAGAAAAGAAAAAGAAGTCCCTTTCTCACTTACTGAACAATTACGTACCTTCTCTCCTTTCTTGGGGGCCACCTCCAACAGGCCTTGCCCCTCACTTGGGAAGCAGGTGAGAGGCGTGCATGGCTCCCCCTTGCTCAGGGTGCTGGGGAGGTCTCGGCTCTCTGACAAGGCAAGTATCTGGTGGCTCTCGTCACACACCATCTGGAGCAAAGCCTGCAGGGGGGAAAAACATCAGGAAGGGGAAGATGGGCTAAAGCCACCACTACATGCACTGCCCTGGCCACCACAGCTTGGTGCTCAGCGAGGAGCAGGCTGCAGTGCAGAAGGATGGCCACTGTACGGCCCACAGGGTGCCGTGAGGGGGTACTCCAAACAGCCGTCTACCATCCTCATGGTGACGGCTTCAAACATCCCTCCCACAACTTCAGGGACCAGGAAACCAGGCCAGAAATGGATTCTGGATAAGCTCCTCCAAGGCCAGGCCACTCCCTCCACCCAATCTGTTCTCTGTGGGGAGATGAGCCTCCTCTACACCTGGGCCAGGCTGGGCAGGTCTGAAGAGGCTGAGTGTGTCCCAGGCCCTCCTGGGACCACATGAGGGCCCATGGGCATGACCCAGCTGGCAGCTAGTACCAACGACCAGCCAAGGCAAAGGCACTTGTGCCTGCAGAGCATCAGTCCCTGTGACCCACAGGTCTGTGGGTGCAGTGTAGTCTCCTCAAATCAGAGCCTGGGGTGCTCACTACAGGGCAGGGGGGACAGCAGCTCTGCCTAGCAAGGATGAGGGAGAAAGAAGGTGGCCTTGGAAGCCAGTGTCTGGACAGCAGAAGCCAGTGGCACGGAGTCTGGCCATACTGTAGCTGCACACAAAAGCTCCTACTCAAGACACTCGGCTTAAACATGTGAGGGAAAAAGAAACTAACAAAATCCAAAACGGAGGAAATGCAACATTAAGCAATGACAGGGCTTATAGTGGAGTTTAATTTAGCCAACTGGAAATACATTTTGCCACAGTATTTTAAAAGTGTTATTTAGGAACATACTGTATATTACATGTTGACTTCAGAGACAATCTAACAATTTAAAACAATTTTACTCTAAAAAAATGTATTTAGAGGCTGAGATGCAGCTCAATAGCAGAGCACGTGCCTAACACGCGCAGCCCCAGACCTCATTCCTAGCACTGTATTTCACATAACACGGATGTGAGGTGAGGCCTCCAGTCAAGGTAGGGGTGAGCCAGGTGACACAGCCCCACAGGCCCTATCTCCATCTGCACAGGCAATGTGAGAGCCAAGTGGCCGGCCACCTCCTGGCTGAAGATGATGAGCCATTTTCTGTGTCTTAAAATAAATTTTTCTGGATTTCACAACAAGGATAAAATGCTATCTGAAGACACCTCTTAAAGAAACCCCACAATCCACACAGGCTTGGCCCCCACCTTCCTCGCCAGGCCACGTTGTGTCTTTGCCAAGCGGAGCTTCCCCAGGGTGGGGAAATGATGCACAGCCCACCAGCACTGGACACTGCCAGCAGCTCAGCAAGCAGTCTGTGGAGCACGCGTCTCGCCGTGGGGACCGGTCCCCAGGGCTGAGCATGCTCCATCAAGGGAGCGGGGGCTTACGCCTGCCTCCCTCCAGGCAGCCAGCCCCCACTCCTGCCCAGAGGTCCTCGTTTACCTCTGCCGACCCAAAGCTCTTCTGCTGATCTATGCTGCATGCGTGGCCGCTGGAGGTGACCGAGCACGGCCGGGACCTCTTCTGCTCAGGACCTCCTCATGCTAACCCAACCTTCCCAGCTCCCAGGGTCAGGGCTGCAGAAATAGCGAGCACTTGAGGGCCACATGGAGGCCACACACAGAGAACATACATGGGGAACACATACGGGGACCACATATTGGGACTACATGGGGGACACCTAAGGGACCAGTATGAAACATGTGAACCACACACAAGGAATACATATGGAGACACGTGGCAAGCACACACGCATGGGAAACACACAGGGGACACACGTGACCATCACAAACAGGGACCACACGGGAACCAAGCACAAGACCCATCCATGCAGACATGTGGTGACCACATGGTGCCCACACATGGAAACCACAGAGACTATGCAGTGCCCACACACGCAGACCACACGTGCACACGACACAGATTCCAGGCCCCATACTTCTCAGGAAGGAGCACCCCACATGGCATGCGGCCAGCTAGTGTGAGCAAGCGCTCACCCACTGGCAAGTCGGGGCCTTCACTGTACCTGGGCATGGCTCAAGGGTGCTCTAATATTCCAGAAAGACAGTCTAGGGAGTGTAGAACAATAAAAGGAAATGCTAACTGAAAACAGTCTGAGAAATCAAACAAAAACACCTTTTAGGTTTTTTGGTTCTTCGTGGCCTGGGCCCTCCCCCGGCCCCATGCAACTTTGTGGCTGCTTCCTCAAAGACCTCTGGAACCTCCTCTGGCTTCCTTTTCTTTTTTAATTACTACACATCAATATGAAGAATTACCACCAACAACCCATTTATTTCTGAAAATCAGTAATTCTGTTACTATTAGGTTGCTTGGGTAGGAAATACTAACAAACCTTGGATGTTTTATACTGTAAAAGTTTAGAGAAATGTAATCAAAGAAACAAAACAATTACTCCAGTTTCCATTCTTTCGTGAGTCTTGTTGTTGCTTCTCTTTTTTGAGACAGGGCCTTGCTATGTCGTGCAGGCTGGCCTCAAACTCTGGGCGACCCTCCTGCCTCAGCCTCTCCCAGGCTGTGATTACAAGTGTGAGCCACCATTCCTACTTTGAATTTCCATTCTTAAAGGAGTAAAATAGTTTTATTCGAAATACAATCTCAGAACTTAGTATCACTGAAACTGGGGATACATTTACCATCTCTTCAGGTCTATGGCCATACCCCCCGAATGTGCCTGATCCTGGAGTTACCCATGCTCTGTGAGCAAGGCCCACTAGTGGTAGTGTCATGTCCTTCCCAGCCAAGCCAACAGCAGTGGTTCCGTCACAAAGTGACCTGTGCAAACACATCTAAGCGGCTCCTCCCTCTCCTCTGAAGAGAGCGTCCCTCTAACCCCAGGACCCCCACGAGCCCAGCTCCAAGAGCCCCAGACAAGCAGCACTGATGGCCCCCATGCCCCTGCCTGGGTGGAGGATATAACTGAGGGTCTGGTGCAGGACTGAGGTGAGCAGCCTTAAGGTGCAGCCTGTAACTAGTCGGTGGTGCCTCAGGATGGGCCCCACCTACCAGGGGGCTGAGGCTGGTAGGCCAGGATGGGCCCAGGTCAGCCAGGGCAGAAAAGAGAGGCCCTTTCATCAGGAGAGTGAACTGCAGAGCATGAGGCCCACAGGTAGGCCCCCCTCTGGGGATGCCTGAAGTGTCACTGCTGCTTGCTGCTGAGGACAGCTGGCCAGGAAAAGACATATGGGTGCTGATGACCTCAGCAAGGACAGGAAGGCTCTCACAGTGATACCTGCCCATACGCAATTAACATCAGAAACACCCTGGCCAGCGAGACAGCAGGACACATTGCCTCCTTGGTGCGTGCTGCCCTTAAAGAAGACATGCACAAGAACAGGGAGGGACAAGATGCTGCTCTCCTACGAGGAGTGAGTTTGTGAGAAAAGCTGGTGGGGTCTTCCCTCAGCACCTGCACAACCACTAGGCACTCCACAGGGTGCAAGGGACCAGTGGCCATGGTTCACACATGGGCAGAGGGCCCCTGCGTTCTGTCTCCAAAGCCAGATAAATAAACACAATCACTCCCCAACATAGCATGACTTTGATAATAGAACCCAAAATGACTCCTCTTTCTGTCTTTGTGAACTCAGAAATACATACACACACATAGAGCCCGACCCCCTCCTGAGACCGTGGTACCCTCCAGTGCCAGTACCTCTCCTTCCCGAAACACAGAAGTCGAAAAATTAGAACCACACTCGCCCCTCGGAGCCATGCATGCAGGGTTCACAGAGGAACACAGCCAGGCTGAGGTGTGAGGCGTGCTGGGAACCTCCCTGCTCCCCGCCAGCCTCACCTTCACATGCCTCGTGTGGATCTCCTTCGCCTGTACCACTCCTGGCGGCTGCTGAAATCCTCTGGAGACCGGAGCAGGAGTCACAGCACCAGTAGTGGGAGTGGCAGGTCCTCTGGATCCGAGGTTCAGCCTCACTCCACAGCCAAGGCCATCACCTATGAGCACCACAGGGTCAGTGCTGAAGCACAACTCCGTAGCTCCTCCCATCGAGACAAACACTGATGAACACCAGGAAGAGGTGACAAAAGCATTTTTATAACACGTAACATGAAGAAAGGAGAACCTTATTTTGCATGTTCAATATTTAATGTCCATGAGTTACACCTAAACCTCAAGGGTACCTCAGTTCTTCCCTACACAGAATTGACGTGCCGGTCCTCATCTCCACAGACAACCAGACCTGAGTTGAGAGCAGTGAGACACACACAGGACCTACACACTTCACACCAACACAGCAAGGCTGTCACCTTGCGGTGAGCCTGGCCACAGCTGATGGGGCAGCAAATGTCTGCTTGCCTCCTCCCCATTCTGCATGCCTGGCATCGGAACACCCGAGCAGGAGTAGGAGAGCTTTCGGTGGGGAGGGCACTACTGTGGAGGGACAGTCGGTAAAACACGAGGACGGTCTGAGGACGACACCGGCCTTGGAGCAGTGGTGTTGAGCGTGCTGCTGTGACCCAGGTGAGCTGCACAGTGGAGCACTAAGGGGCCAAATGGCATCAGGTCTGCAATCTGCACTCAGAGCACTGGGGAGGAACACGGTGAATGTGAATGCTGGGAGGACACGGTGGAATTCTTCCTACAGTCTGTGCTCTAAAACTGCTAAAATAAAAAATAAGAAAAGGTGACTCACTTTTTTCACTCTCATCACTTCTTCCTTCTAACCCAGGAGGGGGGGATCTTAACACGTCTCGAGAATCAAAAGATGTTGCGATATAATCTTCGACATCCTTCTCCTGTTCAGATAGGGAGACTTTCAAATGGTTGCGAAATAGTAATTTATTATATCACAGAGCTGAAATGGCCACAGAGAAACTTTCTAAGGCCAATTTATGCTCTTCCCATGTAGAACCTAGATCAACGAATTCCAAACTTGTGAACACACTGACGCCATGGGCTTCCAACAATTTAGATTTACCCACAACATTAAAGTAGCCACTAGCAAATATTTAGAAATTTTTTAAGTTTTTGCAAGAAATTATAGTAGATACCTCAGATAACATCCCCTAATTTTCTTACTTAAGATACACAAAGTCTTGAGATTATTGAGGCAAAATACGATCTAACTCAAAAATAACTATAAAATTAATTAGCATCTTATGTGCAACCTGTGAAATACGAGCTATTGCTGAAAATAAATCTAAAACCATTGTAGACAAATACACAAGAGGATGGGTTTATGACTGCGCTGTCAGAATCTGTGCCAGTGAAGGAGTCCCAGGTGGCCTATGAAGGGCTGGCGGAGCTCGCGTGCTGGGAACCCCGCAGCAGTCAAGGCTTTGTGGCCCAGTCCCACAGTGCCCCACCCAGGAGGCACCACAGGCCATGAACCAACAATGGCAGCTGCTAGGACTCGTCCCCGCGGGAATCCTGGCCGGACAGAGCAGAAGTACCTACCGCAGCGATCCTCCCCACAGGCTGGTCAGATGGCAGAGTCGCCGTCCACAGCGGGGTCTGTTCCTCTGTGGACCCACCCAGGCTGCTCTGCAACAGCCAGGAAGGGTCCTGGGGGGAGGCCTCAGCATTGCGAAGGCTCACGGCACCTGAGCAGGGTGTTAGGGGAATGCTGGGCCAGTACTCCAGGCTAGAGTCCTTCCGAAAGACCTCAGGGGAGCTCCAGGAAGACAGCTCCTGCACCCTTCCTGGGTCCTTCAGGGGCTCTGCCTCCTCAGCATGGAGGGAGCCATCATGCATACTGGTTTGTAAGGAAAGGCGTCCATCCTGGGGTTCTATTTTTTCTTGAATAAGGGAATTTGGCATTTCATTTCTGCTCAAAGCATCCTGATTTTTAGTAGTATCAGTTAGATCCCATGTGGTTTCATCGCTATTAAGTGAATGAACAGGAGGTAGTGTATCTGCTTCTGCCCTTCCATGGGAGCTATTTTCTGATAGGTATGTCAATGCCGAGGGCTGCTGGAACCTGGACCCTATAGGGTCCATGTCCTGCAAGGCCACAGAATGTGCCAGACAGTTCAGTTTTTCTTGAAGTTGTTGCACCTGAGCTATTAGATCAACTTTCTGCAGATGACCATCTTCCATCCATTTTTCCTTACCCTGCAGGTAAGAACAGGCATACAGTAAGACAAGGAATGCAGCCCCGGGGACACAGCTGTCTATGAGCCAGGATTGGAACCTGAGATCACCTGTACTTATGTGTCCATGAAGGGCCTTTTGATCTCTCCACGTACTTAGGGTTTCAAGTTTAATTTCATGAACGAGAACTGTCATAACCTACTCCTGTGGTAAATTACTGAAGACACAAGCTGTTTATGAGTGAGGAAAGCAGGGACTGGAGCTGATGGATGCTGAGCACTGGGGGCTGGGGTGTGACCCAGCAGCAGAGCACTTGGCCAGCATTACACGGGAGTACAACTTTATACCTGAGCATTGCAGTTACTTCTGAGCACTGGAAAACAAAGCTGTGGCTTGTGTAACAAATGTGGACCTCACCCTCAAGCACCTGGCAGCCTGCTAGCTTGTGTCCCATGAGGCCGAGCATGCTCCTAAAATCACACAGCTTGTCCCCCATCGTGGGGGCCCTGAGGAGTCTGCTGCAGAGCTGGGGGAAAGGTCTCTACAAAGAATGTGTTTTCTGAGATTCTTGAAGACACTGGAAAGTAGATCCATGTATCTTCTCTGAAAAGCCTCACCCAGGCTCACATGCTGCTCTGAAAGCATGGTGCCAAGTGTACTGTGGAATTCAGAATCGTTCAGGTGCTCAGGTACACGTGGTGCACAAGGCACAGACAGGAGGGGGCTGGGAGGTCAGAGCCTCCACCAATGAGTACAACATTCACACCACAGGTCACAAGGGGCACCACACATGCTTTGCCACTTCCTTTGGGCAAACAACTTGAGGTCTGAAGAGTCCTGGGTGTCAGAACATGGCTAACAAGGTTTTGGCCTGTTTTATATGCAGCAGTGAGGGTAAGACAGTGGGCATCAGACCAACTAGCAGGACGCTGAACTGACAGAAGAAGGACAGGGCCATGCAAAACATGTAAGGTATGCTCCAGGCAGAGCAACTGCCTCCAGTACCAGTGCTTCCAGGAGGGGCCCCTGGCACACAGGGGTTCAAAGAACACTATGCCACATGCTGGGTGAATTCCCTGGGGCAATTTGAGGTTGCAAAAATGCACCCTCCTCCCCTGAGGAAAGAAGTGAACCTTTCTTGAAGTGAAAATATGAGGTTCAAAAGAAATTAAATCTGAAGTCTTTCGAAGTAAGAAACAGTCAGTGATAAAAGCCCAGAGCCAAGGTGAAGCCAGGGGGCAGTCTGGTCCTCACATGCAAATGCCTAGCTGCTTAGTCCATGTAAAACGTGTGTCAGAGTCTTAAAGTCTGCAGGAGACTTCAGAATGGACCAGGAGCATTGCTATGGCAGGGCAGGTGGACTCAACAACCAGCTACCATGTGAAACCTATTGCTGATCCCATCCAGGCCACTGTTCCCAGGTCAGCCCAGCTGTGAGGGATGTGCCATGTCCTTCATCACCCTAAGGATGGGCGCACCCACATACCAGCATCCCCCAGCAACACGTGCCCACCCCTATGCACCTGCACCCCACACAAACACTGCATACCTTCCTTTTCCCAGGAGCCCTGGGATCATCTTCCATGCTCAGACACATCTCGTTTTTCACCATGAGCAGCTCTGCCTCCAGCTGCCTCTGGCAGACTGTAAGCACTGACACCACACTTTCTGGTTTATGGAACTCAGCGTCCTTCAGCATCGCCAGGACTTTGGCAGGCTGCGGATCATCCTTGACAGAGGAGATGGAAGAATGCTCATGAAGGCAGAGTTGGGTGAATGAGAAACACAGACGCTGCCAGGCTGTTCCCAAGACCATAAAGGTAGGTGGTCCTGCCACAGCCCACTGCCCACAGCAGGGGCACAGAGCAGCAAGGCCTCGCGCAGGACAGCTCCTCACACCCTTGGCACTGGGAACCCACACCAGCAGTGGCTGGGGCACCTGGGAGCAGAAGCTGCTCTACCCAGAGCTGAGCTGCTGGGGGCAGTGAGCAGCTAAGCCCACAAGTTCCACTCAAAAGCAACCCGGAACATTTAAAAATGACAATTTATGCAGGGCCTTCTGTTCCAAAATGAAATGAGCTTAAAATAGTTCACATCAGAAGCGTTCGGTAAAAGATAAACCATCTGATTAGAACCAGAGAGGGAAATTAATACCGAGTGACCTTCATGTCATGGGAGAGCTCCTACAGCATTGAAGGAAGAGCTGTTTTTAAGGCTTAAAGGACTTAAATGATAACATGTTTAACACTGTGCAGAACAGTAGGACCCTGCCAAACCTGCTGGCAGATCCCAGCCAGGTCAAGCTCCAGGCTCCTCTCTCCTGCCGGGAGCTTCCAATGCTGATTGCAGCCACACTGCCCAGCCCAAAAGCAGTCGCTAAAGTAAAAAAAGTAAAAGCAATCCAGCATCCACATGCCCAAGTAAGCTCCAGCTGCCCCTCAGGTCCCAGGCACAGATGCCAGGCCTACCTGTGAGCCCCGCCCATGAGGGTCTGAGGCCAGCAACTTGCTGCCACCTCCCTGCTCCAACAAGTCGGCACTCTTTGTGTCTACATGAGGGTGTGGGTGGGTCTCAGGTACCCCTCGGGCCTGCTGCTTGTCCAGGTCCACCTGGCACCCCAGGAACCGCTGGTTTAGCATCTGCAGCTGGCGGCTAAGGCAGACACATTGTGCTCGCAGCCACTGCAGCTCAGGAGGCTCTGAGCTGGCTGGGGGCTGCTGTTCTAGGGCATGCCGGAAGCGCGCCAAGGCCGAGAGGACAGCCTCCAGCTTGATGAAGTGGGCCTCTTTCTGCTTGTTCATAGCTTCAATTTCTAAATCTCTCTGCACAATTACAGCTTCCTTTTCCTTCAGGACAGCTTCAAACTCCTGGATCCGGGAGGTCATACCCTTGACCTCAGCCTCCCTGAGCGCCATGTTGTGTCCATGCTCGGCCAGCTGCCGTGTGGCAGCCTCCTCTGCAGCTTGCAGGCGCTGCTGCAGGCCCTCCAGAGCCTGGCTGTGTCCATGTGCCTGGTCAGCCAGCAGCTGCGCCAGGGTCTCCTTGGCCACAAGTGCAGCTTCGAGCTCTCCCTGAAGTGCCTGCCCACCTGGGCCCTCAGCTTGGAAGCACAGCAGCTCGCTGTGGAGACTATCGGCTTGACGGTCACTGAGTTCATGTACCACAGGCCCCAGTAGGGTCAGCTCAGCCTGCAGCTTCTCAATGACTTCATGGAGCTGCTCAATTTCTTCTGCTTTATCCTTTTGTAATCGTTCCTGGTTCTCTTGCAAATTTTCAATAATGGATTTCAGCTCTTCAACCTCAGAACTTCTGTGGTACACAACCTAAAGAGAAAGCACATTGCACAGCCCAGTTGTAAATGGACAAACCTCAACACCTCCATTTTTGATACACAGTTCACCATGAATCTGTCCCATGGAGTAGAGACCTGACAGCCTGTAAAACCAAACAGTGACAGGTGCAGATCAGCGTCACCAGACGGCACTTGTTCTGCGCCAGTGGCTCCAGGCAGAGAAGACACCAGGGTGGCGTCACCACCTTCCCAATACTTCTACTCTCAAGCTCATGGGGCTCCCACTTACCCCTTTTCAGTCAAGAATGGCTACAAAATAGGATAGGCTGGGAACTTAGCTCAGTGGCACCATGCCTGCCTTGAAAGCACAAGGTTCTGAGTTCGATTCCCAGTACCACACACACACAAAAAAGAATGGCTACAGAATAATGCTTTCACTGTCATTTAAAAGCTTACTTGGGGCTGGGGATTTGGCTCAGTGGTTCCGGTACCTGCCTCGAAATTGAAAGGTCCCGAGTTCAATCCCTGGTACGAAAAGAAAAAATAAAAGCTTGCTTGGCTAATATTTAAATGCCTTTGATTTGTTTGGTTTTCCTGAAGATGCATTTAGACTAGGGGTCACCCCAGTAACAGAATAAACATGAGGAAGCTGGCCAGAAGATGCATACCAGCAAAGAACTGAATGCACCTGGAACATGTGACTGTGCAAATATGGCTGCCGGCTTATCCGTCAAAGCACGTGGCTTCGAGCCTTGGACTACACCCGGCACCAGGAGTGGTCTCCCTCATGTTGTCCAACCTAACCTTCAACAACTTTAAGGAAAGAAATACTACGCCATTTTATTTTTTTACCCCATATTTATTTTATTATCCCCACTTTAAAGATGGGAAACTTGCAATTAAGATAAATCATATCTTTACAAACTCACAAAAGCAGTGAGAAACCCAGGTTGAAATCTGTCTGTATAGCTCCAAACTCAATTCTCTGAAGATGATATCACTGGTTGTAACCAAAAAATAGAAAAATTCTGATCAATTTGTGTTCTAGCTACCAATTTGCACATAATTTGTTACAGTCTAATGTTATGCTTCCAAAGAATTGAAGGCTTAAAACAATACCTGGTGTTACTAGAGCTACCTCACAGTTAGTTGGTGTCTCACATTTTAGAGCCACCTTTGTGTGATGACTCCAGTATTTTAGGATTTTGTTTGTTTTGCAGTGCTGGGGACCAAACCTAGGGCCTCACACATGCTAGGCACTCAAAATACAAACCTGCCCCAAAATACAAAGAAAAGTAAGAAGTCTGATTGATTGGCATCAGTTATATACTGCATATACACTTCTCTAGGAATGCAGTGTCACGCATTTAGCAAAAAGAAACTCGTCCCACTCTATTTCATACACTACTCACTGTGCTGCAGATCTGTGTCCTGCACTGGACGCACCAAATTCACACGTGCAAATTTTCTCATTCACCAAATGCTCTAACTACACTAGAGGAAAAGGAGCATACCAAGAAAGGCATAAGACCAAGACAGGTATTTCACTGAAAATACTGAAGCTGGGCTGGGGACATGGCTCAGTGGAAGAGGTGCTTGCTTAGCATTTGTGAGGCCCTGGGTTTGGTCCCCAGAATTACAAAACAAAACCCTAAAATACTGGAGTCATCACACAAAGGTGGCTCTAAAATGTGAGACACCAAGATTTAAAGTCAGAATATAGTCCAACTGGGACAGAACAAAGACAGACAAAAGCAGATGGAGGCACTAAAAGAAAGACAACTTCAGGTTGGGGAGCTGAGAAAAAGGGTAGATGCCACCACTGAGAGCACACACGAGGGTCTCCCTGGACATGGAGTGGCTGCTCCCTCTTGTCAGCACAGCCCCTTCCAACCCAGGACTGTGCAGCAGGACCAGATCCAAGTGCTACCCACCCTCCAGGGCAGGGCAGTGAGGATCCACTCACTCCACACCAAGTGCCATTTGATCCACAGACACTGCTGTCTTGGCAGACACAGCACTGTGCGTCCTCTAGGGTTGAGAGAGAGCAGGACAGGGCTGGCAGATTAGAGTCAGATGGAGGCTGGACCTGACAGGTAACACCCACCCAACTATTGGCATAATGATAGAAGGGCATAAATAGAAACAGAAGGAGGGGCCAGGGATTTAGCTCAGTGGTTCCGCTGCCTGCCTCACAAGTGGAAGGACCCAAGTTCGATCCCTGGTACCAAAACAAAAAGAAAGAAACAGAGGGAGAGGTCCTCCCCCTCCCCGGGCCTGCCACACAAGATAGCCAACCTGGAGGGGTGCAACCCTCTACCCACATGAGCGTAGATCTGTGCTGAAGGAGCACTGTTCTGCCTTACATGAGAGCAGACCCAGAGCAGCACCCTGCCCCGACTTGAGACAGCAGACCTGCAATGGAGGAGTAGTTCCAGCCCCCAAGGGAGCACAGCACAGGACAGCAGAGACAAAGACTAAACAACTGACCTGATCCTGAATGGGAGCAACCAGACCCCAAGACTGTCTACCTTAAGTCCAACAGCCCACTTGAATCCCTGTCTTGAAGCCTACATCCAGCAAAGAACAGAGGGCTGATCGTGCTCCCCATCTACCAGTGGGAGTGAGGACATGCCTTGGCTTGAATGGTCACCTCCATCTAGGGGAATGAACAGAGGGCCCTCTAGTGCAAGGAGGGCCCAAGACCCATGAGCCCTAAAGCTAGGCAGAGAAAATCATGCCTGGCAGGATCCCAAGACTGCAGATCATGGAAAGAAACAACTCAATCTATAAGGCAGGAATTTTTTCTTTGGCTTAATCTGTTTTTGATTTTCCTATTTTGTATTATTTGTGTCTTCTCTTCAATGGGATATGAGGAAGAGAGAAAAGTAAGGGGATCTTATTAAGGAGTATAAGTAAAGTAACAGTGATAGAGAATAGCTGCTGGAAAGAATAAATGAGAACAAGAAGAAAAAAGATATACAGCAAAAACAGGAGATGAAGAAAAAGAAGAGGAAAAAAAGGAAGAGAAAAAGATAAACGACAAAGAAACTAAAAGAATAGAAAAAAAAGTGGGAGAGAAACCTAAACTCCAAGAAACCCCGATGAAGAAAGAGCACCTAAAGAAATTCATGACCACCAAACCAGCTCTCCAAAAATTTCTCAATGTAAAAAAAAAAAAATTAACAAGAACATTGTAGAAAGAGATAATGAAGCTAATGACAAAAAGTCTAATACAATGAATGCATCTGTCAAGATAAGCAGTTAAATAGAAAGGAAAGACAGGGAATCAAAGCAGGAAAATAAGGCAATGACAGGAATAAGTAAATACTTATCAGTAATAACTCTCAATGTAAATGGGCTGAATTCCCCAGTCAAAAGACACACTGGCAGAATGGATCAAGAAATAATATCCAGGGCCGGGGATTTAGCTCAGTGGTTTCACCACCTGCTGTGCAAGCGCAAGGACCCAAGTTCGATCCTCAGTATCAAAAAAAAAAAAAA